TGTCAAGGGTCAATTCGAACCAATCTAATTCAACTATTGAGAAATTCAACGCTGGTAGTTTTGTTTCTCGGAATGTACAGTCTTTAATGTTAACTGAAGCGTCGACGAAATCAAAAGATGAATTTCTAAACGCAAGTCCTTTGAAATTAACTTGAATTCCTCCTTTTCCTCCTCTTCCATCAACCATCCAAACGTTTCCTTGAGAACACGCAATATGAGCACGTGAACCAGTACTAACGAATGACATGTTTTTGGTAAGATAAATTCCTTCATGTTCTTTTCTGAGTGGTTGACACGTATAAGTACGCCGCCATGAAGTACCTGTGCCATCGAGGTAGATGATAGAGCCCGCTGACACTAGATGTATTGCATAAGATATAGTTCGACACGGAGAGGCTTGTGTTCCACAACTGGTTGTATCTTGGCCAGATAGTAGTGACACAAATGCATTAGGCATTACCAAAGTAACTACAAAATAACAATGCTATGTAAATATTTTTATAGACTAGGTTAACTGGGCGTTTGGACGTGCCACATCATCATCTATGAGATTGACTTTATTGAATAAGTAGTTTATAGGAATCCTCAACTAGCGCATGCTGTTTGCTAATCCTGCGTGCATTTCCGATCCTAAGCCCGCAAAATGGAGTCTGGGATTGCACTCGTTTCGTGAGGTCGGTACTACACACAGGCTTGTCCTAATGGGATATTTATAGAATAACTCAAGAAATTTAATTAAGCGTTTTCATGCACACCGCCGTGACAGGGATGGATGTAATTACTCATATATAATTAGCCAGTTTAAACCAGGAGAACTGACTTAAGGTAACAGGACACCCTTTTTGGCGTTTTGCGCAAAATCGCTACTGCGCGCTCAAAATCAGTCCGATTTTCATCAAATTTTCACCAAATGTTAGCCAGTGCGTGCAAAATATGGTAAAGTTATAAAATTAATAAACAATAAAATAATGTAAGAATTATTCAGGAAAATCTTAAATCGCGGTACCGTTACGCTTTTGAGTTGTGCTCCTGCTGGTTTTGAGTTATATTTATAAAAATATCATTTTTTAACAGTAAAATAGTTGTTCTAGAAAAAAAGTTCGGAAAATTTTGTTTATTTCGTCATTCCGCTGATATGGCGATTTCTTTGACGACTGCAATATATTTCTGAATTGTTTGAGTGAATTGCTCTTTATTACTAAAATATCCAAAATTAGAACAAAGCCGAACACAATTTTGAAACTGACGTCTTTAGCTATGTCCTGTGAAAATTTGAGAAAAATTGGCTGAAACCCGCAGGAGCACAACTCGTTTGAATATCAGTAATTACCGTAAAATTCTTCGGGAGAAAATTGAATTTGAATAATACATTTTCAATGTTTTTCTTATTGCAGCGAAATGTATTTTATTAAATAACTCTGCGAGTTTTCAACATTTTTCGTTCAAACTTGGTCAGGTAGTAGAACTAGTCTAATGCTTTCATGGAAACCAATATAAAAATTTTAGGCAAAATTAACACTCAAAGGTGTTCTGTAACCTTAAACTGGCTACGATAAGCTACTGTAACGGCTCCTATCCTATACATTGTAAAATGTCGGACAGACACGTGAACTGGTCCTATAAGCCCTACTCAGACGAGAATGAGAGCTGATGAGAGTTTATTTTCTCAGCTCTCGTGATGAAATTGCATTTTCCATCTTTAGTAGGAATTGAATGTTCTTCCAATTCTCGAACATTTTATCTGATGACGTCACGTAACTACAACTATCTGAATTAAAGCACTTGTCGAGTAATAACCTTGAAAGACAAAACAATACAGTGTTTTAAGTAAAAATATGGACATTTTCAACTTCGCACTGGTTTGGAATGGACAACAATTGATCGTGAATGGTCACATAACTAAAAATAATTTTTATTTATGTATAAGATGGTATGATCTGAAAGTGAACAATATTTAGGATTGGAAAACCGAATTGAGTTATTTTTTTTACATTAAATTTGGACAACAAATTGAAGATCAAAAACTAAGTCTTTAAAACTAAGGACAAATACCAAGGTTCATGCATAATAATTAATAACTGCAATAAATATTATATTTAATATCAGAATTTTGTAACGCGATATTATTTTTATATTTTTATTTTATAGCTTATAGTATATAATCGTGTTGAGTATTTGCATTATCTCTAAAAGGAAACCTTTTTATACCTCACATCCAAGTGGTAGTTTCATGATGAAATTCCATTCATGAAATTTCACATATATCATGAGATAATGAGAAATTTCTGTTTCATATATGAAAGCTTGACATATGAAATCGATTTCACAGTTGAAGTGTCCCAATTCCTCCGTCGATTTCACATATGAAATGTATTTTTATGATATTATTTTTATATTTTTATTTTATAGCTTATAGTATATAATCGTGTTGAGTATTTGCATTATCTCTAAAAGGAAACCTTTTTATACCTCACATCCAAGTGGTAGTTTCATGATGAAATTCCATTCATGAAATTTCACATATATCATGAGATAATGAGAAATTTCTGTTTCATATATGAAAGCTTGACATATGAAATCGATTTCACAGTTGAAGTGTCCCAATTCCTCCGTCGATTTCACATATGAAATGTGTTCCAATTCCACATATGTATTTCACATGTAAAATTTCACATGTGAAACCATATTATGTGAAATTTCCGTAAGGGTAGTTTGCGGATGCATGCCAAATGTAAATGTTATTCATTAATCATTCCTGATGAAACGTTACATATTAGTGAATACTCAAATAATTTCTCAACGTGTTCTCCGTGGCTTATGATTTCAGTGCAAAAGTAATTTAAGCAATTTGAACATAAATAAGAATTTCTTCTGGTCATCTGATCACACACGCATTTGCCGTTTATTCAAGACGGTGTTTGTGTGAAACCCGAAATTCTCATATTTTTAAAGCGCCATATTGCCGGAATCATTCTGTTTTTCTAGGTTTCTATATGGTAATTGATATAGAGTAGAGCCACTGAATTTCGCCGTTGCCTTGATCCAAAATGCGAATAATATCAATACTCAGACAATATAGTTGCATTCAGTTCTCAAATGTAGAAAAATGCGATTTTATTCCCCCAATTTTATCCCTTTATCCACATTTAACCCCCTCGTCGCATTTTATCCCTTATCGGCATTCCTCCCGTCATGTAGCCTGAAAGACAGGCGTTCCCGGGTTGTCATTTCAATTATTGTTCAACAATCTGGAATGATGGATGTTGTTCGATAATTGATAAATTGTTTATACTGCAGAAGAGAGCAGCGCGTGTGATAACAGGGGACACATATGAGGTTCGTTCCATGCAAACGCTAGATAGTCTTAATTGGCTTCCAATAGAAGAACTTCTAAAACAACGACAGTTAATAATGACATTTAAAGTACTAACTGGTCGATTACCTCGATACCTTGGAAAATTGTTTTCAGTAAGTCAAAATGACAATTACAATCTAAGAAGCAATCAAATTAAATTGAACCTACCCAAACCTAAGACAAATTTTCTCAAACGAAGTTTCTCGTATAGAGCTGCTAAGTCCTGGAACGAACTTCCAAGTGAAACTATTGAAAATTATAACAATCTTTCACCTTTGTCGTTTAAACGGCAATTACTTAATTCATCCGTATCAATTCATTGTAAATAGTTATATTCTTTTTGTCCTTTTTATATTATTGTTGTAAACACACGGCCCTTTGAAAACCAGCGCTGTAAATATTATCTGCTGAACAGGCTACCGTGTTTAAATAATTTTATTAAAGATTAAAGATTCATCGGCATATATTCTAGCACCAGGCCATTCTTGATATAATGGCATGCAGACCGTCAGACACGGAATTATAACATAGCACTGGTCAAACGACAATGAGTTGACGAGAGCCAGTTGCAACTCTCGCTTGCGTTTGACCGCCAGCTCTCGTCAACTCTTATGATGCATTCCTACCAACTCTAAATCAAACTCGATACGCGCGCGGTAATGTTCAGTGCCTGGTCAACTTTCGTCAACTCTCATGCATCTCTTGTTCTCGTTTGACCGGGGCATGAGATCCAGTTGAGGAAACTCTCATGCAAACTCTCGCTTCTCAACTCTCATCAACTCTCATTCTTCGGTTTGACGAAGGCTTAATTAATATATAACTCAAAGCAAAATCAACTGAAGGCAAATATATTTTTGCGATAAACATCGTTAATTCTGAATAAAAATACTGTATAAAGTGCTGAAATGGTTTGTGCCTTTCTTACAAAGGTATAATTATATATATAGCTGAAATGGTTCAAACCATTTCAGCACTTCCTCTTCCGCTACTAGACATTGATTAGTTTATGTATTTTTTCAGACTTTTTCAGATCACAGTCAGAGCTGTCACCATAGGTGATCAGTATAGGTCGGTGCCGTTGCTTAAATCGAGGCCTAAAATTACGCAAGTAATATTTCCTTACCGTTAAGTGCGAGATGAAGTATAACAGATAGAATTAAGGCATTCATGATTCAAAACAGTGGCTATATACACAATTTTCAATTAACGGAGTCTTTCCATTGTCATCACTCTGGTTCAGTCCAAGCGCAAGGTTTTGATTTAGATTTACAATGAAGCGAGAATTGAAATAATTAATCATATGCATGCATTGTTGGCGTTTGACATTTCAAGTAGCTTATTTTCTTATGACACATCTGTCTGGCGCGAGCATGTCACTTACTTCCTTAATTCACTTACTTCCTTAATTCACTTCCCTAGTCCGCTTTCAGGAAACACCACGTTTAGAGAAGGGGCGGACTGTCTGTCGTTTGGCCAAATATGGTATCCTGAATTATTTTTTTAATTTGCCCAATCTAATATACATTTATTATTAACAACATTGCATGGAAACAATTTTCGGGCCTTTTTAAAAAAATTGTCGAGGGGGCGTCTACAAAAAGGGACCCTGCTATACTGAGTGTGGAGAGGTGTGGTGTCGTATGCATAGATATATGAGATCTAGATTGCTAACGCATACCTAGAGCAGGCGGGGCCTACATGATAAATCCAAGATGGCGGTACAAGAGGGCAAAAAGACTATAGATTCTATTACGAAAATCAAGATTTTTGCATTTTTTGCCGTCGCATTGTTTTGAAACTTATTCGGTCAAATTTTATGGTAAAGAGAAACTTACCGCGAAGATTTTGAGCATATATATGATTGAATTGGATGAAAACTCGCAAAATTATGCAGCGATAAAAGTTCGTGTATAGTACTGATATAGTACTATATAAGTAACTTGTACAGTTTTGCTTTAATTTTTGCTCACTATTTGCATAAAAAGCAAATTATAACAGACCATAGATGATAGACCCTCATCCAGTGCTCTCATCAGTTTACTTCTCTAACAAGCAAGGAGGGGGCGGGGGTACATAACAGTTCATTTTTCATAATTATGAGGACAGAGCAGATGATGATGAGAGATGCAAGTATAAAACACCATTCACAAGGCTAGATGTTAACATAGCACAGTATTTCTGGCAATAAAACGCTCCAACTGACCATTTGACACAAACTTTTATCGCTGGATAATTTTGCGAGTTTTCATCCAATTCAATCATATATATGCTCAAAATCTTCGCGGTAAGTTTCTCTTTACCATAAAATTTGACCGAATAAGTTTCGAAACAATGCGACGGCAAAAAATACAAAAATCCTGATTTTCGTAATAGAATCTATAGTATTTTTGCCCTGTTGTACCGCCATCTTGGATTTATCATGCAGGCCCCGCCTGCGCTAGGTATGCGTTAGCAATCTAGATCTCCTATATCTATGGTTTAAGCAATATATTATCACTACTCCTTTTCACCAAATTGCCTAAATTGCTGACTAAATCACATTGCTCAGCTGGTGATGTTGTGCCTTTAATAACTACTGTGTTCATTAGGCAAATCCTCATTCATAAAGTGATCATTTGTGGAGGCTTAGCTAGCAACAGTCCAAAAGTAAACCAGAGGGCACTTGGAGACTGCATACTTTTATCATGCATAAATTATATAGTGGGGCATGCAATTTATATACATTCAGTTTACTCTTGCCCGTCGATCAGAGCAAGGCAAGCTTTTGTTAATTTTCTCATCCATTTCTCATCTTGGGTAATGTTCATTAGTCCCCAAAATTTTCTTATTAATGTTTGAGATTTCTTGCATTCTTGTGCTGACAGAGAAACATACAAATGTGGATGAAAACAGAACCCCATGGCAGGGGTATCTGGTATCTAGTTTATACTGATGATATTGCTGAATGCCTGTCCCCCCCCCCCCCAACAAATTTGCAGCTCTGGGGTACAGATACAAGTACTATTGGAGTATTGGGCAACTGCTAAATTTAACAAATGCATAAACAGGAAACAGTTTTTAATTAAGGAGGCTCCCTACAGTTCCGTGCGGGATGTTCGCGGGACAAGTACGTGAACTATCCCACGCAACTGCATGATCAAAACAAAACAAAAATTGACCATGCTTTTTTTAAAAATAAAGCTATTTCTGAAAGGTTTCTAATGGAAAAAAGCGTTGAATAATACTTCGTTTTGAATGCCAAATCACTTGCGAGTCTATACAGCAATTCTACATATGATACAAATATCACTAGACCAAAAAATAGCTACGAAACAATGTTTTTTAATTTTTTTTAAATATACACTGTCAACTGTGAACAGGGTTGGCAAATGTTCTTATATTAGTTGTTCTTATATGTTCTTATATTATATAAGAACATTTTTTTGGGAGGCAAAAATGTTCTTATATTTTCTTATATTATTCTCATTAATTATTCTACTTCTAAGTAGTAAATTTTAACTATTTGACATTCATCCTGAAAATAAAATATACAGATAATAGTCGTATAAATACAGCAGTAACAACTATTGTTATAATTTTTAAAGCCAAGAGGTTATATTACAGCAACATCTAAAATTGAAGTTGAATCGTCATTTTAGGATTTTGGATGATTTGTTAATATGACGTCATCAAAGTTTTTGAAAATGTTCTTATATTGAAAAAAATGTTCTTATATTAATATAAGAAATAAGAACATTTTATTTTTGAAAAAATGTTCTTATATCCAACCCTGACTGTGAAACATTTGCAAAATTGCATACAAACGTTTAAAAAGTTGTTTACTTCTCAAGAAAACGTTCACGTTTCTAGTCGTGTTTCTACAAGGTTAAAGTGATTATATGTAAACAGAAAAATATTTCAGTTTCATAGCCTAATTGTTCATTTTTAGCAAAAAGTACAAAACCAAACATGAAACAAAAAAACACGTCCACCTGTTTATAATAGGCTGTTACAGCTCATAGATTGAGTAAACGGCAGGATTCAATTAGCTTCAACCTTGTTTTCATCGATTTAATCCTTCACAATAATCCTTGACTGTCCATAGCACTCAAATAAATCGAAAAGTTGACAAAAACAAAACAGTAAAAACAACATTGCGGCTCGATTTTGCTGAATGAAAACTCGTTCTGCGCCCGCGTACAATTTTTTACTAGTCAGCGACGCTTTTCAATAGGGGAATTTCTCGAGTTACACGAGGCTATTTTCTAACTTTATTTGTATTTTACTCATTCGTTTCATCGGTGACCTATCTTCAAATTTTGACCACGAATTTATTTTGCGGTAAATTTTATAAATTTCAAATTTTAAAAAAATCTGTAGTGTGGAAATTTCGCAATAAATTTTTCGCTTTTAAAAAAATCACACACTACAGAATTTTTTTAAACTTTCACCACAGTTGCAGATCATCATTCCTTATTGATATATGAAATAAAAAAGATAGGTCACCGACATCGTTTTTGAGATAGCGGCACATTTATGGGTTAAATTGGAAGGCTTTATGCTGTCGTCATGTTGCCATGGGAACATTGACATCGTTGAAATCTAGTTCGAAATATTCCTTAGGTGATCAATATTGCCACCAAGACGAAAAGAATTCGCGTTCTGCACGAATAAGCCTGTTTTACGGAATTATTGCTTAAACAAGAATAACTGTAGGGAGCCACCTTAAATAAAACCAAAATATTGGAGTTCTACAGTACCTCTTTCCCCCCGTTGAAGTACGCGCCAACTTATCGGCAAAAATTGTGTTGACCACTTCTTCAATTTCCTTTTCAGTTTTGTTTTGTTTTAGTGGTACAGCGTGTACCACAAAACCTTCTGTTTCCAATCTGCTTCTCTCCTTGCCTCTGGGAGTGTTTCTTTGTGTTTACTGGAAGTAAGATAAAGTCCTTGTATATAATTCTTTCGGCCGGTTCATCTTTAAAAACGTTATGAACGGTTCGCTTTCGTCGTCTGCCACTCGATGTCCTTGGACGCCCGTATGGTGTCAAGGGATTGTACAACAATGCAGGGGTTGCTGTTGGTTGTACACTCGGTGTCGATCTTGTTGATGGATTACGCGTATTGAATCTATTTCTAAGTTCTCCTTCCACTTGTGGAAGTGCTGGATTGGAAACTATTTGTTGTATCACATTAGGTAATGAAACTGGCGTTGAGCTACCCTCTGGGACCTCAGGCTCTTGGTTTATTCTGTTAAACAGTCTGTCCACAACTCCGTTTATAATTCTGTTCTCCATGTTTATTCATGAATGGGTCATTCCATTTATTATCCGCACCCCCCTATGGATGAGCGGATTCCTACCGGTCAGATATTAGGACTTAGGGGATTCCTACTGGTCAGATATTGGGAATTAGCAGATTCCTTCGGCCCGATTCCTACCGGTCAGATATTGCCGTCGAGGTGTAGCATACTATATTGCCAAATATTTATTATGAGAATCATAATCATTCCATTTATTATCCTCACCCCCCCCCCCGGTCTGACATTGGGAATTAGCAGATTCCTACCGGTGAGATATTGGCAATTAGCAGATTCCTACCAGTGAGATATTGGCAATTAGCAGCATTCCTAGGGTTTAGATTGATACTGTCGATTCCAACAGGGTACTTCTCTGAAATCCGATTCCTACAGGTAACATTTTTACCAGAGCTCATCCATAGGGGGGGTGCGGATAATAAATGGAATGACCCAATCATGAGTAAAAATTTGGCGGGGAAACACATTATTCGCGGGAAAAAAATTCGGCGATATTTCTTGCGACGAAAATATGTGACATGTTTTTGCGAATGAGAATATGACATGTTTTTGCGAATGAGAATATGACATGTTTTTGCGAATGAGAATATGACATGTTTTTGCGAATGAGAATATGACATGTTTTTGCGAATGAGAATATGACATGTTTTTGCGAATGAGAATTTGGCCTTTTTTTGCGAATGAGAATTTGGCCTTTTTTTGCGAATGAGAATTTGGCCTTTTTTTGCGAAAGAGAATTTGGCCTTTTTTTGCGAATGAGAATTTGGCCTTTTTTTGCTTTGCGAATGACAATTCAGTATCTGTTGCAAATGACAATGTCATCGTACGCTTTGCGAATATTGTCAGCATCGGCGCTCCATACTTGAAGCCGATATACGGTATAATACATCAATGGCATCAATCTGACTTGGCAACATTCGAGTAACCAAAAACGTAAAATTAAAAAAAACTTTATATCTCGAACTTCGCGCTTTTCGCATCTGACTGTATTCGGAGCGATTGCAGAATACCCGTCCACTTTTGAAGACCCGCCAGAAATATCGGTGGCTACGCAGTGGGTACGAGAACGAGGCAATGAAGTGATTACGTAATTACTAAAGCGTAACTGCTACGCAGTGAGTTTTTATAAAAGAACGAGACATTGGTATGATGACGTAATTATTAAAGTATAATACTGTAGGTATATTTTTTAGTGGCTACGTGGCTACGCGGCTACGCAGTGAGTTTTTGAAAGAACGAGAAATTGGTATGATGACGTAATTATTAAAGTATACTGTAGGTATATTTTTTAGTGGCTACGTGGCTACGCGGCTACGCAGTGAGTTTTTCAAAGAACGAGAAATTGGTATGATGACGTAATTATTAAAGTATACTGTAGGTATATATTTTTTAGTGGCTACGTGGCTACGCGGCTACGCAGTGAGTTTTTATAAAAGAACGAGAAATTGTTATAATGACGTAATTATTAAAGTATACTGTAGGTATATTTTTTAGTGGCTACGTGGCTACGCGGCTACGCAGTGAGTTTTTATAAAAGAACGAGAAATTGGTATAATGACGTAATTATTAAAGTATACTGTAGGTATATTTTTTAGTGGCTACGTGGCTACGTGGCTACGCAGTGAGTTTTTATAAAAGGAAGAGACATTGATATAATGACGTAATTACTAAAGTATAATACTGTAGGTATATTTTTTAGTGGCTACGTGGCTACGTGGCTACGCAGTGAGTTTTTATAAAAGGAAGAGACATTGATATAATGACGTAATTATTAAAGTATACTGTAGGTATATTTTTTAGTGGCTACGTGGCTACGCGGCTACGCAGTGAGTTTTTGAAAGAACGAGAAATTGGTATGATGACGTAATTATTAAAGTATACTGTAGGTATATTTTTTAGTGGCTACGTGGCTACGTGGCTACGCAGTGAGTTTTTATAAAAGAACGAGACATTGATATAATGACGTAATTACTAAAGTATAATACTGTAGGTATATTTTTTAGTGGCTACGTGGCTACGCAGTGAGTTTTTCAAAGAACGAGAAATTGGTATGATGACGTAATTATTAAAGTATACTGTAGGTATATATTTTAGTGGCTACGTGGCTACGTGGCTACGCAGTGAGTTTTTCAAAGAACGAGAAATTGGTATGATGACGTAATTATTAAAGTATACTGTAGGTATATATTTTTTAGTGGCTACGTGGCTACGCGGCTACGCAGTGAGTTTCTATAAAAGAACGAGAAATTGGTATAATGACGTAATTATTAAAGTATACTGTAGGTATATTTTTTAGTGGCTACGTGGCTACGTGGCTACGCAGTGAGTTTTTATAAAAGGAAGAGACATTGATATAATGACGTAATTACTAAAGTATAATACTGTAGGTATATTTTTTAGTGG